TACTTTTAATAAAATTTTTATAATACAAAAATAACAATAATTAATTTCAGTTAGGTTTATTTATCAAATTGATGAAACCGACCAACCCGATTAACTCGACCCGAGTTAGTCGATTTTCTAGTATTTTAGGTTGGCTTTGGTTCAAAAATTTTCCAATTCGACCAAGTTGGATCAGTTTCACTTTGGCCATTTGTAAACCGACCAAAATCGAACTACCTAACCATGATTTTTGTAAAAATATTAAATTATTATTAATTTGAATATTATGTTATGATTTCTTTATTTTATTGCATAATTTCATTATTTTAACTATTTAAAATATAGTTATGTTAAATATTTCGTTATTTAAAATATTTAGTTATTTAAATATTTAAATAATATATAAAATATTTAAAAATACTCATTATTTGAATTTAGGATATTTAGTTATTGAAATATTTAAATAATTAAATATTTTTCCGTGTAATTATTTAGCTATTTTTAGTATTTTATTATTTAAGATATCTAGTTATTGAAATATTTAAACAATATTTTATTTTTTAATGTTAAATTTCTATTACTTGAATTACATTTAATTTGAATAATCTGGAAAATCATAATTTATATTGCTAGTATATAATTTTGTGATGAATTTTGTAGAAATATAAAACTATTAATAATATGAATATTATTAAATCTATTATAATTATTTTTTTGTTTTTTTAATAAATATTTTAAACTTATTATATAATTTGTTAAAATATTTAAATAATTTTAAAATTTTTAATTTAAACTTCCTTTAGATAGATATAGATAAAAGGTGGAAAAGAGGATAAATAAGAATTAGAGATAATTTGGAGAGAAATTCTCTAATAGATTAATGATAAGTTAGGTGATAAATAGGAATTGGAGATGATTTAGGAGAAAGTGGGGGAGGAAGTTTAGAATAAAGTTTAGAAGAAGAGATTGTTGGGGAAGGAGAGCATCTCATTGGTTCTTTAAAAACATGACGTGGAAAAAAATCAAAAAATTCAAAAAAAGGAGAAAATTTCTTGACCGCTTTGTTTTAATATATATATATATATATATATATATATATATATATATATAATTTGAATATTATGTTATGATTTTTTTATCTTAAGATTTTTTTTAATTTAAATATATATTTTTTCTATGTAATTATTTAGCTATTTGTAGTATTTTATTATTTAATATATTTAATTATTGAAATAATATTTTTAATGTTAAATTTCTATTATTTGAATAACATTTAATTTGAATACTTTGGAAGTCATAAATTATATTGTTAGTACATAATTTCCTGATGAATTTTGTAAAAATATTAAATTATTATTAATTTGAATATTATGATTTTTTTATTTTATTGCATAATTTTGTTATTTTAACTATTTAAATTATAGTTATGTTAAATATTTCGTTATTTAAAATATTTAGTTATTTAAATATTTAAATAATATATAAAATATTTAAAAGTATTCATTATTTGAATTTAAGATATTTAGTTATTGAAATAATATTTGTTAAATTTTTATTACTTGAATAAAATGTAATTTGAATAACCTTGAAATTCATAATTTATATTGTTAGTATATAATTTCATGATGAATTTTGTAGAAATATAAAATTATTAGTAATATGAATATTATTAAATCTATTATAATTATTTTTTGTGTTTTTAATAAATATTTAAAGTTATTATATAATTGTTAAAATATTTAAATAATTTTTAATTTAAACTTCCTTTAGATAGGTATAGATAAAAGGTGACAAAGAGGATAAATTGGAATTAGAGATAATTTAGAGAGAAATTCTCTAGTAGATTAGTGATAAGTTAGAAGATAAATAGGAATTGGAGATGATTTAGGAAAAAGTGGGGAGGTAGTTTAAGATGAAGTTTAGAAGAAGAGATTGTTGGGAAAGGAGAGTATATAATTGATTCTTTAAATACATCACATAGAATAAAAAAATAAAAAGTTAAAAAAAAAAAGAGAAAACTTCTTGACCGCTATATATAAGAATTTAGTCGATTATCAAAAAAAGTGAGGGAGGTGTATAGTATATATATAAGAATTTAGTCGATTAGGCCTGTCCGTAATTTTCCGTAAAAAGAATTTAGTCGATTATCAAAATAATAAGAATTTAGTCGATTTCCTTAACTTGAAGGGTAATTAGATATTTAGACATGGAAGTGTATGGTAGGAGACTGGGAGGAATTGGGCTGGGGAAGGAGAGTCCTGTTTTTTGTGTGAAAGCTAATAAAAGTCTTCCAACAGTTACAGTCTCTCGATCAAATTAAATATTTTGATCAAACAGAGTCCTGTCATGATGGTCAATTGTAGCTCCCGGACTCCGATGACTCATCCTGAAATGGAGCCCGCAATCTGGAGCCGGTTACCGGAAGAACTTCTTGAACGTATACTGGCTTTCCTCCCTTTCAGAACCTTCTTGAATCTCCGATCTACTTGTAAGCGCTTCAATTCTCTCCTCTTCTCTCCATCTTTCATCTCCCTTCATTCTTCTTCTCTCGCAGTCGGACACAGAACCCAAACTCATCCACCCTTCTCTTCTTTTCTTCTACTTTCTCACCCTCAGTTTTACCATCAGGTCATTCTCTATAATTCTTTTCAGGGCCATTGGCGCTCCCTCACACTACCGTCGTCCCACGCAACATCCCACCTGCTCTCCACCTCCAACGGCCTCCTCTGCTTCTCCCTCCCTAATTCATCTGCCTTCCTTGTTCGAAATCTCCTCTCCAGATCCTCCAGACTCATCGAGTTTCCAACCTACCCTTTCTCATTCAATTCGGTCTCTCTCATCTCTTTGCCGTCAAAGGGATACAAGATACTTGTGCTATCTACCGGGTCATCTTCGAATTCGACTTTCGTTTACGACTCGAACTCCAATTCATGGAGCCGATTCGAGGGCTTCGACCAGATTCTTAGCGAGAATTCTCACCAGGAAGGGGTATTCTGTAATGGACACCTGTATTTTACAACTCCGGAGCCATTCTCCATCGTGGGTTTTGAATTGGAGACGGGGAAGTGGGCAAGGCCGACGGAAGCGGAGCTGCCGGAGGAGCTCACGTTCGTTCGATTGGTGAAGAGTGGAGAGGGGAAGCTGTATATGATTGGTGGGATAGGGAGCTATGGGATATCGAAAAGAGTAAAGTTATGGGAGTTGGTAGAAGGGAGGGATTGGGTAGAGGTGGAGAGGCTGCCGGAGATGATGTGCAGGAAGTTTACGTCGGTATGCTACCACAACTACGAGCACGTGTATTGCTTCTGGCACGATGGGATGGTATGCATTTGCTGCTACACGTGGCCAGAGATCTTGTATTACAAGGTTTCAAGGCGGACCTGGCATTGGCTGCCTAGATCCCCTTACCTGCCCGAGAAGTGGAGCTGTGGCTTCAGGTGGTTTTCCTTTGTTCCCGATATATATACTTTGGTCTGAATTCTTATAAGTTCAAGTTTCCACTCTGTTATTTCTGCTTGTTCCTGTGTTTGTTTGAGAGAGAGAGAGAGGGAGGGAGGTTTCTTCTTCTGTTGGTTTCACTTTTCTTCTGCAGTTCCTTTTATTTATCATTGTATACAAAAGTTACTGAGATTGCTTTGAGCTTATATTGTGGTGGACATGATAGTTCCAGTTGAGTGTAATGTAGCAGTAGTTGTTCTCCCTAGCTATTCTATGCTTATGTGATCTGATTGAGCGATTCCCTTGAGATGGGTTTGGGTTATGTAGTTCCTAATTGGCAAATGGCAATGAAGCTGGTCCTACTCTTTGAAGAATGAAGTTGAATGGGAGCCTATATTCTAAATTGAGATATATATCACCAACACATAACACTAATTCATTTGCAGAAAGGAGGATTTACTGGTTCCAGCTAATTCACCTTACTTGTCTTGATTTTGATGTATTGGCAATTGAATTGGGGTCTTGGTTATTGTTGCATTTTAGCTGGGTAGCGATTCAAAGTTCATAATTTGTAATTGTCCATTAAAAAAATAGATTCTGTATTCAGTTCTATTTCTAATTACTAAATGCCAATGGTGCCTGTTATCCTACGCAGTCATGATCTGAGTTTGACAAACCCAGTCTTCCATAGGATAAAACCATGTAAATTAGTTATAAGTCGGTGTCCATTTGGGTTTTCTGATCATACATTCACATACAATAAAATCTATTCAAGTTGACATTTTCCCAAGTCTAAATGACTAGCAAGAGTTCAAGGGAGGGGTTCTCCTCGGACTTTCTGTATCAAACAAAACTCGCCGATGCAAGGATGAACATCAGAGACTAAATTTATTGATGTATGATGACTAAAGCACCCTTTATATTTTATAATTTATTCACCAAGATACCCTTGTAAGCTGCTGATCACACCAATCACAATGTTCAGCACTTGTGCTTCTTGTTCAAACTTCACCAATATACTTTTCAATTTCCTATTTTTTGACCTTCAGATCAATCATTTCTTTCTCTTCTCTTCTGGTTTTCTTTTGGGACAAACTTCACCAATATACTTTTCAATTTCCTATTTTTTGACCTTCAGATCAATCATTTCTTTCTCTTCTCTTCTGGTTTTCTTTTGGGACAAACTTCACCAATATACTTTTCAATTTCCTATTTTTTGACCTTCAGATCAATCATTTCTTTCTCTTCTCTTCTGGTTTTCTTTTGGGAACAGAGGAGAAATAGAGTAATGAGGGGAATAGATGGAGCCTCTCTGCCACTACCTGCCTAAGCAGCCAAGTGGAAGGTTGGAAATTAAATCATCGAGAACACTTCTTCAATGTATGGTAGATGTTAACAGTCAATAGTGTCCTTAGACCACACGATTGGAATCACAGAGAAGCTCCATTCTTTTACTACAGAAGGGAGGCAGAGAATACGAATAGTGAAAGGTTTGATTCGGCTAGTAAAATTCAAGTTGCTTAATTTACAGAATATCCGTTTGGAAGTATGATGGTGAAGTTGGTGTTTAATCATAATACACAGAATAGATTCACAGTAATGCCAAATGAATTGAATTGTTCTTATGATGTATGATGTGATTCGTCTCTAAAATTTTGCCCAGAAAATTTGTAATTTGATTAACAGTGAAAATTAATGGATTCAGGTATGTGTGTTTGGTTTGATAGAAAATTTAGAGGGAAACAGAAAGGAGAGAAATAGGAAGTTCTTTAAGCTGCTCCTTGGTCCTCAGTCCTTACAGGGTTTATTACAAGCACCATTTATACAAGGCTACAACTGAATGGTTTTACTTTTAGCTAAAGGATGACAGTCTACATTACATTGACCTGATAGAGTAGATGGAACCATCAGCACGCGAGACCAACTGAATCCCCAACCTTTGATGACCATTCTTCATTTCGTTATATGTAGAAAAAGAAAAAGGAGATAGGAATAATCTGTATAAATCTGTTTGTTTACAGAAAAAGTAGAAAAATTAAATGAGAGAGAGCAATTTATGGAGTTGAGTACCGACACGGAAATCTGGGATGCCAGAATACCGAATACGTGGAGCCAGGCTTTCCACATCACCCTTTGATCAATGGCCTTATAGATCACTTTTTAATCTTGGTAGAGCTTTTTGGCAAGTTTCTGGTGCAATCCGAAATATCACTTCTACCAAAAATCAGAGCGATCAGATGGTTATAATGCCTTTGACCCAACTCAACTACTCGCGTATTTAAAACCGACCTGGAGACCGAACCGGTCAGGATTCAGTTAACAGGTCGAACGGTGAGTCCGTTTTGACAAAAAAAATAAAAAATATAAAACGTTTGAACATTTCGAATGGTTAATTGCTTGGGTCAGCGGTTTACTGACCAAAATCAACCGTTTCTGGAGAAAATTCGATTTTGGGGGAAAATGGAACCGTTCACCTAACTGGTTCTCGATTTTTGGTCTAATCCGGTATTAAAAACCATGCGTAGAACCAACCGACGCTGATGCTTTCAAAAGTAGATAATTCTTGCCTTTTAGGTTCTGTTCGCTTTTCAGTAAATTACTTAATCTGAGTAAATACATTTATCCACATAAGTGTGTTTTAGGAAAGAATAATGGGCAAGTGTATTTACCCATATTCTTTAATTTCTTATATAAATAAAGTAATGACCATTTTATCCATATAAACAATTTATCTCTAGAAAAGTTATTTATCCACATAAAAATTACCTAACAAAATAAACTTTTTCCGATCCTTACAAAAAAAATATAAAATTCTTAATTCCCATTGACATATTTTCCCTCTCAAAATCCAGAAAAAAACACCCCCTAGTTACCGCTTATAAAAATTTGTTGAATTACAGTACGGCAGGGAAGACCGACTTAATGCTTTTGTGATTTTTGGGGGAGAGCTTCCTCTTTGTTGTTTGTGCTTCGTAATTATCAAAAAAAGAAAAGAAAAAAATACCTACTCATTTCCGATCCACGACTGACGACGCTAATAAATTTCTGGTTCAACAATTTTATACCCGGTCAATCAGTCCTGTTAAATTGTGTGCCACAAACGCAAACCTACCCAAAGTACCAATCGGACGGGAATCCACAGATGGCCATGCCATTCATGGTCCCGATTTCCAGTTTCTCTCTTCCTAATTTAGCAACTCCAGTGAAAGCTCACATCGCTGCTGCAGTTTCTTCGTCGCCTTCTTCGTCTTCTCTCAGCACCCCAAGTTCTTCCCTTCCTGTGACAACATCTTCCAACCCTATTTCGTCAAAACCCAATTTCAATTATATCACTAACAGCAGCAGAGGAATCAGCAATCAAGACGATGGTGATGACAGAAAAACCATATTACCGACTATGTCTGAGATCATGGAATCCTCAAAGACCCAGAACCTTAACCTACAGCTCCAAACACTGGGACCCTTATTCAGAATTACAGCCATCAACTTGGAAACCAAGAGAGAGCTTGGCAGGGCAGAAGGACTCATAAGACTCTGGTTGGGAGGGAAAATTCTTCACTTGGACTCCATTAGACTGCGCAGAGAGACACTCAGCATGGAGAGATCAATATTCGGCATTGGTTTGTTTATTGGAGCCGTTGCGGTCAGGTATGGCTACGATTGCGGTTGCAGAACAGCAGAACTTCTTGCCATCAATGACACAGATCTCTACCATTCCAAGGTTCTTAGTTGCTGATAACTCCTCTATTCCTTGTCTCTATCTTCACTTCTTCTCTTTGCCATTAGGATTCTTTTTTTTTTTCAGATTATTTATTTGTTTTATTCTTAATATCAGCTTGTTAAATTCTACAAAAGAATTGGGTTCAAGGCTGTACACGAAGTAACTGGTTCCTCCATGGGAGACCTCGCCCACATGCTTGTCTGGGGAGGCAAGGGGACTCGAATGGACGCAGATATTGAAGAGCTTTTGATAAAATGGGGAACCAGATTTAAAGTTCGCAGTTAAGTTATCCGCTACACCCTGTGTCCGTATAGGTTAATCGGCTTTATTGAATAGCTCATAACCTTGTGACTGCCTTCTCTTTCTTGCCAATGATCAGGCAAGTTGTTCATTCTCCCTCCTCTTTGTTGTATACTGTAAAGACTAAAGGGTTTGGGGTTCAGTTTGTCATGTCTTCTGATCAAATCTTCTGGTCTTCGGAAGAACGTTAATGAACTGATTTATTTCCCTCCAGACTCCACACTTTAAAAACATAATTATTTCCTGATTTCATTGTCTGGAATCATTTCTGCTATGAAGCATAATTCAACAAAAAGCGGACATTTAGCGTGAACTGGTTTATTTCCCTACTCATTAACATTTGTACTTGTTAGTTTTCTGTTTTTCTAGGCCTTGCATTGATATTACAATGTGGAACAAAACTGATTTAACTGAGAAGAAGCCGGATAACAATGAATCGGGATAAATCTATCATTTCATGGTTAGCTGAGCTTGGGACTCCACTCGAGTGTTTAAACCGGAAATAATTCTTGAATCAGATAAATATTCCAAGTCCTATTTGCTGAGAAAGATATAATCCACCAGTCTATTGGTAAGGCAACTTTGAGGCCTGGGAACAGGGAATAAGAGATATTGAATTCATTCATGGACCCTTTCGTAATCAATGAAATCCGAGTTTTTGAGCCAGGGACCCTTCCTTTCCCCCTTGAATCTATACATTCAATGGAGTAAACCAAATGGATATCTTGGCCAAGTAATACGATGCTTATATGGTGAGGCCCAGATCTGCTGAAATCAAAAAACGTAGAAACACGCTGAGAGCACAGCATCCAGACACACTGGGGGAACATTTGGTTGTATAGATTCAAGCTCGAATAGATCTCAAATTCGCAATGACACCCTAAAATCAGACATATAACTATGACATGCTGCAAGCCAGTCTTTCATAAAAGGGCCAAGTTAGAGGGTGAAACATTTCATTTTCATGAAGACACCAACATCAGTAAGAGGGGCAATTTCACTTGTTTCACATTGAGGGGCGCTTTAGCAGGCATTCTCTGGAGTTCAAGATGGGTATTAGAATTAAAGGTGACTTCAGTGTTTTGGGGAATTATTTTTGAGTCAATCCTAAATCATATTGATTTGCCTACGAGATCAACCACTTCCAAATGCTTAAACATTTGCCTTAAGCACAAAATTGAATATAAAAGGGAACTTTCAGGTAAGACATGGGCATTAATGGTGCTAAAACTTTTTCGTATTATAACTTTGTGCTTAGGATGTTCTGACCACCAAACTTCGCGACAATAGTATTCCTTTCTTTTTCCACTTCCAGATGAATCTTCCTCAATCCTAGTGTCAAGTCTCAGCATAAAGGTTAAGCCATCATTCCAAATTCAATCTATTCTAGTGAAAAATGAAATGGGTTGTACCCCTAATATCAGCAGGGGCTGCAATTTACAGTTTTAATCTGTCATAGCCACAGTAGTACTTTTACAGTTTAAATCCATAATCCCACAGTTTCAAAGCTTTGGGTCAAATTCAAATGCCTTGGTTTCCAAGTCAGTATGTGGAAACGCTCCAAAGACGGTCGTAGCAAATCACAAAGTTTCAATGTGTGGGTATAAAAACATTTAACGCAAAGAAGGGTCGGCCTTGATGATTTGGCAAACCATTTCCACCGTGGAACCAAACCACCTCTTATAATTTCAAGTGGGTTGGTTTAGTGTTTAACCAAATAATGTGCAGCGTAACAATAGATTCGATGAAATAAATGAAGGACTAACGAAGGGAACATTCTCATCATGTCAAAATTCTATGGAAGTTAAAAACATTCTCATCATGTCAAAATGGTGGAATGCTTACAGAAAATTGAAGGAATGACAAAACAGACCTAAATATCCAATCAAATAGTCCACAGCCATCCCAGAACCTACAAAGAATATATATCTGTGGAACCATTTATTGCCCGTACTCTAACCACAAATGTGTAGAGAGAATTCATCAGTTGTGTTATCTTTAGCTCTAACCAAGGGAACATTCAAGGCTTAAGAGCCAGGGTAAACCCAAACTTGGGATTCTTTTCCAAGGCTTTGGTGTCAAACTCACCAGAGATTGTCAAGATAGATTTGGGTTTAAGCTCATGTTGAAGGAGGGCCCCAAGTTTCCCATGGTTGTTGAGTCTCGCCTTCACTACTGTATGTGGATCAACAGCATATAACCCTCCAACTGTGAATGTATTCTCATTTGTGGAGAACCTTCTCGTGATCTCTGCCACTCCAGCACTCTTCTTAAGCAGGTCCAGATGGTGAACATATGATGCTCTGAGTGTGTCACCCTTGTCAGCCCTGGAGAATAAGGGACCAAGTATCAGAAAATAGTGCAGTTCTCAAGTAGGATGACTTGCATGTCTGGCGATGCTGTTATCTCTGCTAGAAGTGGGAGGTATTGTAAATATGCTACATACGCAAAGTGCTCATGAAGGTAAGATCTCAGGTTGACAAGCATGCAAATGCTTGTTTAAGGGCAGCTGCTTCATGCAAAATATAACAGAGGCTAGGATCATACCCATACTACCCCCTCAACAGACTTTATTGCAGGGACCAGCATTGGGTAATAGCCTTTATATACAGTATGGACACAGCATGGACATGAGAATAAAAATGAAGTCATGATGTAGTTGAACACGTTGCTACTAGTCCGTGTTACATTACATAAGACTTACAGAATTATTGAAGCACTAGACTCTGGCTTTGTCACGCTAATGCCAGCATTATACTTGGTAAAACTACCCAATTTAATCTCATAGCCCGCCTCTACACCAAATGCAAAGCTTGGGGTTCCAATGGTTGCTGAAAGATCAACAGATGGGGACTGGTTCAGAGCAACAGATGTAGCAAAAGTTGCATGGTCATGGAAGTACTGCACTTCCAGCTGTAATAAAAAACAAACTATAGGTCAACAAGAAGTTTGCAATTACAATTTCAATTATCAAAAAGTGCTGATTTGAGAAAATAAGATAAGTACCTTTCCTGATCTGTAATCAGGATATTTCAATGTAGCAATTGTTTTAGTGGATGGAAAAAGGTCTGCGAAAGTGAGAGTGGTTGACAACTGCAAAGAAGAATGCATAAGAAGAAAATAACGATGAGAGAGAGAGAGAATAGCATTTTGAAGCAGGCATAAGACAAAAAAGGAAAACTGCATAAGAAACATACATTTGTGTCTGTATCAACTTTGACATCAATGAGAGTGCTCTTGTATTTCCATTGGGCTGCAACATCACCAGATGATAATCCTCCCTTCTTCACAGCAGTTGAAGTGAGGGCCTGGATGTATAAAAGAACTCAGCTGTCACACTCAATCGGTATAGATGTACAAGGTAACCAAATGAGGGGGAGGGGAACCTTAGGAAGCATGATGTGAAACACAGAAATGAAAGGAAATTTTAACTGCAGTGTTTAATGATCCAAAAATGGGAAATATGTGCTATGGAGAAAGTAAAATGTTGTTATTTGGAACTAGAAAAATAACTCCATTTTAGGAGTAATAAGCAGAACTATATTGGGAAAGCACAGCAACGTTGTATTTAGTAAACAAAGAAAGATCACCAAAGTAGAGAGCAAAGTAACAATAGCTCCAATACAAGTGTTTTTTTTTGGATCAGTTAGCTCCAATACAAGTGTTACCAAGCCCCTTCGCCAATTATCAGCTCATTCCAGCATTATGGCCATCAGTTATTAACACAAGAGTCACATGGAGAAAAGAGAACTTCCAGCTATGTCAACTGCCACAATTGTGCGAGTATAATCAGGATACCCGAAAGTTAAAGCATCCAACCATGCCACCATGGGTCCAATAACTTATAAATAGGTCTGAGAATTTGCTTTCAAGAAAGAAAGTCAACATAAACCAAATGTGTTTTGTTTTTTTTTTTGAGAAATGATGAAATATATTAATGGAAAAGAAAGTAACAAGGCTTCTAAGGGAGAGGTTCCCTCAAAACAGCCACAAATAGACATGATAAACAAAGCTACCCCTCATCAACAAACATCCTAAGATTAACATCTCTGAAACTGTTGTTTATGACACTCCAGTTTACTAATGTCTTCTCCACAGCTGCGCAAACTTTCATCGGAGCCCAGGCTTTATCTTCAAAAATACGTCTGTTTCTCTCTGTCCAGAGACACCAACAGACCACCAGAGGAATAGCTTTCCAGAGCACCTTACCCCGCTTGGCAAAACCAAATGAGTATTATGGGAGTTTTCTTAATTATATGTAATATGTGAATGGCCAATTTACCGAATTCATAGTCATGTATTATTCACTCAGACTTTAGTGCTTTTAATCGGAACTAGTGATAGTGAATAGACTGACAAGAAATCTTGAAGTCTATCAGAACTCTCCAACTGACTGCTTCATATACGTGTATACATATCTATAACAAAATATAAGAAGAATTTTAACCATGTTCTTCTAAAAAACTAGTAATTTTAGTGGGAGTACTTCAACCTCAAAGATCATATAACAACATTTTCTACCATCAAAGCAAGCTCTATTTTATGTGTTATACATATCTCGGTATATCTTAAAGACTTAAACTTTTTGGCACATGCTAGGTATTCCAACAGGGGATGTAATACACCAATATGCATCACTTACAAGGTTAATATTATGCATGATAATAACAATATCCTGAACCATGGTTACAACCACAGCAGCATCACAAAGGCAACTGACCTTGGAGGTGAGTGGTTACAAGAAATTAGTTAGTACAAATAGTAAATAAGCAAATTATCACAGAGATAATTAATTACAATACTAACTAATACCAAGGGAATGTAATGTTCAACTTGATAATTTGCTAAATCTAGGTGTTGGTAGAGAAGGACTAGTAGTGTCAGTTCGTCTTTAAGTTCCAAGATCCTTCCTTTTTCACAAATACTATAAGAGTTTTTCTTTATACTAAATAAACTAATAATGGTTAAAGATTATAAAATTAATTATTTGGCCTCAATAATAACAATAATAATAAAGCATTTCATCATTCTGGTGTCAACAATGACTGTCCATTTTTCTATAACAATTTTTCTCTTTGATAAGCAACAAAGATCAAAAGATTTATTATTAATAATGCAAAATGATAAAAACCCCTAAACTAGAGAGAGACTCAAGAGACATAACTACCATACAGTTTGCAGCTTGCTGACACTAGAAATAATATCAACAAAGTTAAGAATCAAAACACAGTCAACCTCTAGGCTGAAACCCAGACATCCCCTTCCTGCCTCCTCACCCCTTCCTTTGAAAAGGAATCAGCAGCTCATTGACTAAGCAACCTAAATGACCTATTCAACCTAACAAACAAATTATATACACAGATAACAGAATTAAATTCTAAAAGCAGCACTGAGGAAATCGACTCCTTAACAGTGGAAAAGGGATTTTTTTTTTACTTTCCGATTTTAGTATAAGGAGTTTCTCCATAAATAACTAACATCTTTGCCAAATTAATGCTATTTGAAGATATAAGTAAGTATTCCTTATCCAATTACTCTGCAAAAGGAATGTTCATAAAGATGGAAGCATCATACCAGCGATGCAGACTTCATCATTAAATAGGAATTTCTGTACTTGTGACCGTGCATTAAAGATGTCATCAACCAAGTTGAGATATAGAAGGAAGCACACAATAAGTTTGATTATGAAAACACATTCGCAGCATAACTGCATAGTAATATAAGACCCCCACCTCCTTTGGAGTGGACACTTGGGCAGTGGTAAGAGGTAGAACTAAGGATTTGGCAAGGGCAGTTAAGGACAATCTAACTACAGATGATCAAGTTGAAAGTATTACCTGTGATAATTAGGGTGAGCAATGAGCATTGTGATGAGAATAGATATCAAATTCAGATAAGAAGAAGGGTAGTAAGGCGTAGGCCAACAATTTTCCAGTTTTCTTGCATTAGCATCCTTCTCTAAGCTAAAGATTACCATCAAATGACTACTGAGTTTCTGGTATTCCTTGGTGAACAATGATATTAACCCATCAACTGACATTCTAATCTATGATTTGTTTTCTCTCTATCAACAAAATTTATCATTCCTCCTCATTATTAGAACGGAAATAAGCATCGCTCTTACCTACTAAACTTGATGGTAAGTTTACTGAAAAGAAAAGCTATAATAAACCTCAGAACAATAAGTAATGAACAGGAAAAAAGAAAACAAAGAACAAAGAGAAATACACTATAAAATCGAATCAGGTGCAGTACTAAGAAACATCTGCATATTCCATTTAGTTCCACAAAATGAATATACACAATTCAACGCAACCTATTGAGTTAAGGCCAATGCATATTTATTGAAACCACCTTGATCAAGCAAACCTTAAATGAAGAGTTGAAACTTATAGTAAATGCAAAAATGAGAAACAAAAACAGATCAGAAGGTAATCAGTTCATACAACTCCAGCATCACTGTAAGTCGTGACGGTGAATTTCTGATCGGAGCTATAATCCTTAGTTAACAGATCTGCAAGCCAAGACAGAGAACAATCAAAAAATCGAGATTCCAATCGAAATTGAGAGAGATAACGAGAACACGGAAAGAAAGAAAGAGTAAAACACGCCATCTCACCTTTGGCCTTCTTTCCGATGTCGGAGAAGAGTCCCGGCCCCTTGCTCATGTTTGCAGGAAGAGAAGAAGAGAGATAGAGGAGAGGACAAGTGCTGGACGGAAACAAAAAAGGGAGCTCTGAAACTCCAAGAAGAGGGGAGAGAGAGAGACCGAGCTCAACGGCAGAAAATGAGGGTTTCTTCTGCTGCCACGAAGGTGAATGAATTCGGGTTTATGATAGGAAAATTACTTAAAATTTCCATCAACTATATTATAATTTCCAAAACTTCCCCCGTCCGTTGAATATTTGATTAAAACCTACCCCAAATAAGTAAATATATATTACTTTAATAAATGACGAAAAGACAACAATACCCCTCATTAGTAAAGTAAATATTGAAATTCTATTTTTATTCCTCTTACAATGAAAACGCTGCTTCATTTGCCATTTAAATCAAACTATAGTTGAAGATCAGAGAGCCGCCGTGGTCGAAGAAGATGATGATTTTTTTTTTTTATATAAACCAGAGGTCAAAAAAATGAGCTACATAGGGACGTTAGCATTCAGTAAGACACTTAAAAAAGAAGGTAAATAAGAAACAGAATTAAAATTTGAATGAACACAAATAGCAAGCCAATAAGAAGGTGGATACAGACCATATGTCTCTCTTTTTGAAGTTAAAATTACGCTTTTGCCATTTGAGCCTCGGTGGATACAGGCCCGATCCTGACCCAATAGGAAAGTGCGCAAAATCGGTTCCTAACTGGACCCTCTCTAGGATCTGTAACCGAGACCGTTGGGTGTGACCCAAGAAGACCCGATTATAATTTAGCAAAAATTTTTAACCTGTAATTAGAAAAATAAACCTACTTATTTGTTTTCTTAGGCCTGGGAAAATCCATTTAACTCAAAGTTCATCAAGACATCAACATTCAACACATCGTTCGGAAAAAATTAATAATACGAGAAAAGAAGTGAAGGCACCGTCGAGGTTCCATGTTTTCGGGTAGTCGATCAGGCGCAGAATTACAATTCAATGCATACATGAACAATAAAGTCTGTTTTGGAATGGTGTGTATTTATTTACTAAATGTTTATGTTTAATTTATTAATAAAATTCAAAAAAATAATAATGAATTTATTTATTGACATTTAGGCGTCATTAGGCACCACGTCACCAAAATAATGAATATATGCCTATTCATAGGAGGAAGGTTAAAATGAAACTTCACGCACATAAATCAATGCTTATTTTTTTGAATCTCTATGCATAAGAATCCTCATAATGGGGGAAATGATGAAATGGCATATATGTGGCAATGTTTATTTAATAAATGCTCATGGTGCCAAACACATGCAAAATGGTTAGCCGAACAATATTGGAGAATGTTCCAACACTCGAGTAGGTAAGAGTGGCAATTTCAAAAGGTATAAACTAGGTCAGCTGGAACCAACTTTGTAAAAATAAGCTTGATTGTGGCTTAGGTTTTAGTGACCCAATTTGTTTTAACAATCACTACTAACTAAATCAGTTTGGAGGTTAGTAAGAGATGAAAATAATCTTTGGGCTAAAGTAATGAGAGCAAAATATTTGAAGCACAGGTTCTTTTTAAATGATGAATTTCATAGAAATGAATATTGGGGTTGGAAGAGTGTATTAGAAGGGAAAAAAGTCATTTTCAAAGAAATGTTCTGGATGGTGGGTTCGGGAAGAAGAATTGCCATGTGGGACGACCCGTGGGTTTTTGGGCTGCCAGGCTTTAGAATATGACTCCATATCACTTGCGCACGAGAAATCTGCCCACATCTACTCACAACACACTACCCCCGTGAATTGGGAACATCTCCCCCTGCATAATACCATGTAGGAGGATGAGATGTTCTCCATGTGYGGATGCGATGTTATGTGGGTAGACGTGGGCAGGAGATCCAGACTCTTAGAATATATAGTCCCGAACCTAGATTGAGGGGGGGGGGGTCTAAGTCGTTGGTCTAGTTGATCTAGAGCCCAGAAGTTGGAATGTTGATCTTGATTCGATAAACTCAATCGTCACACTGCAGGTTGTTGCCCAAATCCTAAGTATAAGGGTTCCTTTAATCGAGAGGGATGATCTTGAAAAATATCGGATGTAGAACTATGGGCTAATCATGAAGTCCTACAATACGGAGACCGGATTTGCTCCTCACACCTAGCACCTCACGCGCACATCCTATCATGCATTGGGAACATCTCCCATACTTATTAGTTATTATTCACGGGAGATATTCCCAATGCACGGTGGAAGTGGATGTGGATGTGAGGAGCAAATCCCATCTCTACGATACATGCTCAGCAGTAGAGATGTTCATTATATGGTTCAAACCACAAACTGAACCGAACCAATTTGAATTTATGATTTGGTTTGATTTATACCTATAAACGGGTTGGTTCGGTTTGAGATTTTTTCTATATTACGGTTTGCGATTTTGGTTTGGTTTATTGAATTTTATAAATCGAACCAAATCATAAACCATAAACCAAAATTTTATATACATATATATATATATATAATATGAATATATGATATGTTATAAATATATAATGAATTCTTTATTTTATAATAAAATAATAAATAAAAATCTTAAGTTTTAAGTTTTAAGGGAGCTATTTGGGCTTTCTAATTAGGTTAAACCCAAAAGAATCATAGAATGGTTTAAAGTCCTGATGAGGGCGGATTTGACCCTCCAATGATATTGTGACACATGGCACCTCAGAACAACTAGGTGACACCCGTAACCAGTTTGGCAACAACTTGCCTTAGCCAAGTTGATGGTGTCCCACCTGGTAGCCTGGTCCTGGCGTGAACTGGCAGCCTGGCCCAGGCGCGACCTGGCCCTGGTACGAAATGGCAGCCTGGCACAGGCGCGACTTGGCGGCTTGGTCCTGGCGCGAACTGGCAGCCTGGCACAGGCGCGAACTGGCAGCCTGGCACAAGCACGACTTGGCGGCCTGGCCTTGGCGCGAATTGGAAGCCTGGCACTAGCGCGAGCTGGCAGCCTGACACAGGCGCGACCTGGCCCTGGCGCGAACTGGCGACCTAGCCCAGGTGCGAACTGGCGGCTTGACCCTGACGCGACCTGGCCCAGGCGCCGACCTGGCGACCTGCGAGACGTACTCAGCAACAAATTCGACATGCATATCCAAACACTCCCACGATCCATGGAAGTTGGTCCACGTGCCAAACGATTCGGAGGGTAGTCAACGTGCATGGCAGTTGCCTTAGGGAATCTCGGACCACTTAGGTGACTTCTCGGAAATCTCGGATATGGTGCGTGAAGCCCACGCCAAACCATGCCTATATAAAGGCACCGCCCCCAATGACATGAGGGGGGGGGGCAAGTAAGCATATTCTAACTCTCATACATTGTGTTTTTTAGCTCGCAGTCTACTATGAGAGTACTGACTTAAGCATCGGAGCGACCTCGCTGGGTTAGCCACCCCGGGTCCTCTGACATTGATTCCTTGCAGATCTCTAAAGAACGATGGCGCTCAACAATCAGTCCGACTCGCCACCTAATAGGCAGCTCGACCCTCTAGTCAGCTCGTTACCTAACGTGCCTAGCTTGGCCCAGTCAACTCGTCACCTAACCTGCCTAACTCGGCAACTAATCTGCCCCCAGCTTGGCCTAGTCAGCTCGACATCCAAGTCCTCATTCAACAAAAGTTCACTTCGGCCTCTGACTCATCAACCACTTGGAAACAGACCAAATGACGAGGTACTTAACACAAAAAATTGATATACAACCAAAAATTGATACATCAAGTCCCAAATCGTATTAAAAACTGACCAAACAGTAATAAAAGGTTTGGCTTGATTTTCATACCAAAAAGGTTAGTTAGATTTAAAAATTTCTCAAACCTTAATTTATCGATTTAGTTTGAAATCTTTTTTAAAAAATTTCTCAAACTATACTTTACCGATTTAGTCTGAAATTTTCTCCAAATCGCATCTAACCGGACAATAAACACCCCTATTTACTAATCTTATATTTGAATTTGACTTACAAGCTACCAATTCATCCCTCGTCAGAAGCAATGTCTCAAATGGCTAGCTGAAGTTCTCTTTTTTGAACACATCAGTGATGTTAGATCAATGTCATAGAGTAGTCTTAAATCAATGTTACAGGGGGGCTAGTAGGTGTGCGGACATGCTAGCTAATTTAGCTCTTTATCACTTCATTTTGTTCATGAAATACAATATTGATGATGCACGATCTGGCCGGTCTTAGCTGTTGATGATCTTGCCTCTGAAATGGGTAACGGGGACCTGAAACGAGAAGAGAAGAGAAGCTCCGGGGAGAACCCGGCGTAAGGGCTCCGAAGCTCAAGTTAGAATCCTTCAAAGGCAAGAATAACCAGGTAGCACGAAAGTTAGCATACCTCATCCCTGGGGGGGTAGAAGCCTTTTATAACCACTTCGCGCACTCACTTCCAGGCCTCCGTCAGGTCGGACATGATTACTTCT